CTGTGTCTCCTGCCCCCACGCACCATTCCCCAAGGCGGTCCTGCTCCTAGGCCTTCCCAAATCCGCACCCAGCCTACCCTCAGGGCTCTCCTATATTTGAAGACGATATACCTGGGACTCAGATTCTCAGCACAACACTCTCCACAATGAACTCATTTCCAAGGATATTTCCTTTTAACAGAAAATTTCCAAAGACCAGGTATCAAGGTGAAACATCTAAATTGTGAAAATTTTCAGGCTAATCGATTGGAAAGTGTCGCATCGGTGGTTGGAGGGCCCGCAGTGAAGTCCTTCCTATTGGTAACTGTGTGACCTGGCCATTACTCAGCATCAGTGCTCTCTAAATTACTCTATTACCGATCTCTAAAATGGGTTTAATGACACCAGTCTTAACAGTTGAAGGATTAAGGATTCAATGAGATAATCTATAAGAAAGCCACAAAGCCCAGGGCAAATATATGTTGTTATTAGTACTGAGAGGAAATTATATTTCGACACCCAGGAGAGTGCCTAGTACACACAAGAAGTTTGTTGAAAATTATTTTTTAAGTGATCCTGGAGTAGAGGCTGAGGGAAGATACTTTTAGGCAAAGGGGGCCGTTAGCACACTGCCAAGATCAGATCACACAGATGAATGCCTACACAGAAGCAGGAGTTCTGAATCTTTTTAGCACCAAAGACGCTTCTAGTCACCTAGTGAAGCCATGGATCCTTCTCAGGATGCTTTCTTTAAATGTACAAAATAAAAGACATAGGGTTCCAAAGGCAATCAATTATATTGAATACATTGTATTGAATATACTATATGCTGAAATAAAGTTAGGACAGTCACCTAAAAAAATAAATGTATGGTATAATAATACACGTTCTTCTTTATCAATACGTTAAATAACATATCTACCAGCACATCTAATAACAAGTGCACTTTCAAAGCAGTCAGGAGAAAAGAATATGCTTCAAAGTCCGTGTCTCCACTGTCATGACATAAAATATCCGTGATTCCTCCTGGTGACAAGGTCGCATGTCCTGCTAACACTATTCTGGTTCGTGCCTAGATTCCTTATTAAAGAAACACTGCATTTCAGTTTGGGGTTTCCTTAGTAAAAGTAAAGATGTAACTTTTCTTCAGTCAGGTGTAGGGCTCCCCTGAATTCTATGTATGGACTCCAGGTCAAGAACCCTCGAACGACGTACCCTTTTACTTCTACCACTTGATTCCATCTTTCTCTAGTTCACCACTGTAGGGATGGCTGATATAATGGAATCCCCTTTATAGCATATACCCCCCCATTCTAGAACCCTTTATGCATTGGAGCTAGGGTCCAAGGCTACTCCCCACTCCTACTCCCCTTGAGGCACTGAGGGATCCTACTAACAGTTGTAGAGGCTCAGGCCTCTGCAGCCCTGTCTGTTGTCTAGGAACTATGTAATCACAGCTCTCATTAATTGCACACTTGGTATATGCTGATGACCATGATATGAAATGCTTTTTCCTCATTATAGCGTCAAACACACAATCTCACAAGGGGATGGTATTATGTTCATGGGGAAACTGAGGCTGAGGTTAAAGGTCCAGTGACTTGCCCAAGGTAGGAAGCAGGGTTTGAATTTAATTCTGATTACAAATCACCTCTTGAGGATACAAAAATACAGATTTGAAGGGATACTTGCACCCCGATGTTTATAGCAGCATTATCAAGAGCCAAGCTATGGAGAGAGCCCAAATGTCCATCGTCTGATGAATGGATAAAGATGTGGTATATATATACAATGTAATTACTCAGCCATCAACAAGAATGAAATCTTGCCATTTGCAACAACATGGATGGAACTAGAGCATATTGTGCAAAGTGAAATAAGTCAGTCAGAGAAAGACAAATACCATATGATTTCCCTCATACATGGAATTTAAGAAACTCAACAGATGGATATATGGGAGGGG